AAAGTTGCTACGGACACACACACACACACAGACAACCACGTAGCAATATGCGTTTTGTACTGTTGTTACACAGCACAAAACGCATAATAATTGGCCAGCGCACGGGCTGCCCGTGCAAAGATGAGTTTTTTGCATATTTCCCTGCAGTTTTTGTTGCTACCGACGCCGGCTTTTTCGGCAAATGCATCTAGCTAAACAAATTAAGACTGGCCGACAGAACTGTCAGAAAACATCCCCTTCAAATTTCAGCTATCTAGCTTCCCTGGCTCCTGAGTCAGCAACTTACTGGAACAAAACTTTCACGGGCCCGTGCGTGTTTACCAAGCATACCCAAGAGTTAGGTACGAGTTGAATGAAACTTAGGTGGACGGGATATATCCTCTTAGAATTACAGTCCTTCAGCATCTCAGGCACCCGATTTATGAAACTGCCCGGGAGAAATTTTGGCGGACCCGTATGCGGGTACCACACTTACCCTCGGGCTGGGTTTCAACTCATTAATACCTACTTGGATGGGGGACATCCCCTTAAAATTTCAGCCTTCTAGCTTTTCTGGTCCGCGAGTTACCAACTTAGCCGAGAAAAATTTTGGCGGGCTCTTGCGTGGGTACCACGCGGGTAAGGCCGCCCATTTCGGGGATGGAGACCCGTACGTGCATGTAGATTATGTTCCTAAAGTTTCAGCAGTGTAGCTTTTGCCGGTCCCGAGACGAAAAATCGATACAGACGAACACACAGATACGCAGACAACCTCTCGTCAATATGCGTTTTCTGCATAGCATAGCTGCAAAAAACGCAGAAAAACTGCCATGTTTCGGGCTTGGCGTGAGCGATATTCTTAAGTCTGTGTGTGCTTGACAGGAACAGCTAGGCTTCTCATTTAGCGAGGATGAGAAACACTACAAAGTTGAAGCGAAACAGCGAATAATGCCTGCGCACCATCCAAGAAATCTATGAAAATCACAAAACGGTGGAAGGATCTGCTTGAACGGCTATATGGAATTATGTGGATGAGAGAGGCTCAAAACAGAGAAGAATGGAGAAATTGCCGCCTACACCAGTGGCGAGGTAAAACCTTTCGATGAAAGTACAAAGTAAACAGCGGAAAAACCGGACATTTAGGATATTATATTTATTAAAAATAAAAACCTGTACGGATGATAAACAATCAAGCAGCAATCCAGAATTTCCAGAAGAAAAAACTCCGCTTCTTGAATATGCTGTACACGTATCATCAGATCTTGTTGTATGAAAGGCCAACGTTTCACTGCAATTTTTTTTCGACAAAAAATTCATAAAGACAGACCTTGTCTGAGAAATAATGGCTCACTAAATTACTGTCATACCCATTAGCTTGTATAGGTCGAAAATACTTACATGCATTGTTTGTGGCTTGTATGAGCTTGTTATGTGACATCATCCCGTGTT